AAATGCTCCGTTCTTGAGCCCTGTATATATCACCACCATGCTTTTCTGTCAGCTGTACTTGTATTTTTAATGTTGCTTGACGCATGCTTGTACTATGCAAAATTATGTATATTGGTTTTGACCGACATTGCACTCTGTAGGATTTATGAAGATCCAATAAACCAGCACTACCTACTGCTTACTGCTTTTCTGGTGTTTGAAAAGGTTCAATCCAACATTGATCCTCCTCCACTGCCTTCTTCCATCTATTTTTAAAGATCTCCAATTCAATGTAGGACTGTCTCCTCACCTATATAAACAAGAATAGCAACATTTCCTATGAGAAAACCCACTAAGGAGAAATACAAATTAAACCATATAAGATTAAAGAACTCATATTATCCTAGACAAAAATGGCCATACACGATGGGGAAGTCAATTAGTGATGTATGAAATAACATCACCATGGACAGCCGTAGAAGATGAACATTTCTAATTATATCAATTTCAAAAACTGAACCTGATGATTCCCATAATAATTAAACTACAAYGATTATATTGCAAGTTTCCATCTCAATGCTATGTGGAACTTGACCAAATACATCATCTATTATCACAAAKGTCATTGTGAGACTTACCGCAGATCTATCATTATTCAAATGGTTCCCAGATGGAGGCTGCAAATCATAAGAGAATGAATAATCACCAATTGAACAAATTATGAATGTGGCAGGAGCTGCATTATATACACAAATCATACCTGTGCACCAACTCTCCGTAAGTYCTTAGTTGGAGAATCATGATCAAATACTTCAGAACTTGGCTGCACAAATGAGCATAGAATAGCAAAAAATATTTAGTAAACCAAATATCCTGAATCAAAAAACTAACCAGACAGTAAATCTAATAAACCTGATAYGCACACACATTATTGGACTTCAGCATAAAAAACAGAATGGATTTTCCATCTCCATTATAACCCCTTAGTTATTATTGTTAYTCCAATCATCTCAAGAATTCAAGTACCAATCCAGGCAAGACGGTTAAGAGTTAAGACAGAATTGGCATAGGTAACCACTTTGGCTATATATGCCTATCTTAAAGAGGCCCACCAATTGTACAGGGATGTTCAAACATATGTACTGTATCTGGGTACAAATGGATTTACCTACATATGTATATCTGCATGTATTTAATTTGCTTAAATTTTTTCTTATACATAGTTAACATGGAAAAGTATAAAACCTTTAATAAAAACTTGAGCAGCACACCTAGACTCCCCTTTGGATCTCTGTCTTAGCTAAAGATCATGACATCACACAGTTGCTAATTGTTGGCGGGTCTTGTGACATCACACAACAAGATCTATATGATACAATTGTTCATCAGTCTCAAGAGAGCCCTATCTTCCCTTATCTTGTTGTTACTTATCACAAAACATTGTTATACTTGTTCAATTGTATGTAGAACTCTTGTAACTGAACATCTATATAATACAATTGTTTTYGAGGTCTCATATGTTTGAGCCCCTCCCTTCAGATTGTCTTGTGTTTGATTTTATCTTATATGTATCTCAGAGCACCAATACCAAACAGTAGTAACTCAGTCTCCTTCCTCTAGCCACACCGACAGAAGTATGGGCATCACTGACCAATTCATTTGCAACCCAATTCAGATCCAGAGTTTTACAACTTCAATGCCAACTCCWGATCATATGAAAGGTGCACTGTCGATTACAGATTATGTTCACAAAGTGAACTCCATTGCCAACAATCTTGCAGCAGTTGCAGAACCAGTTTCTACAAGTGATTTCATCCCTTAAATCCTTGCTGGACTCAGCTCTGAATACGAGTCCCTAGTGATTTCCCTTTTTACTCATTCCAATAATTCATCCCCATCAGTGGATGGTTTTTTCAAAACCACGAGGAATGGCTTGACCAACATGCCCAACCTGCTACAGATCCAGTTATGACTGTGGTTGATATAGCCAATGCTGCTCCTTGCAACAATCCAAACCCATATCAGTTCAACCAACCCAGTTGCGCTASGGATCATGGATGTGGTGGTCAAGGACAAGGCAGGGATTGTTGTAGCAACAACACCCCTAACACCAACAACAGGAAAAGTCCCATTATCTGTCAAGTCTGCAGTTAACCCAATCATGGAGAACTTCAGTGCTATAAACAGTKTGGTGTTTATTATCATAGTGAATCCTCTCCTCTACTCCAGATTTCCACACTGGAACCTCTAGTGGCTCTGATGGTCTGGATCCCAATTGGTATCCAGACTCAGGTTCTATCCACCATCTCAACAACTTTAAACACTTCATTGAATACTCTAGCAACGACTAAGTAAAATGGGCAATGGATCAGGTTTGGATATTATGATGTTGGCTCATCTTCTATCTCTACTAACTCCAAATRCTACTCTTTAAAGAATGTGTTCATTGTCCAAACTATAACTAAAAATCCGTTGTCATTAAGCCAATTTATATGTAATACTGATGCTAYTTTTGAATTTCGCAGGTATTTCTTTGTTGTGAAGGACCACCAAAGGAGACATCTTCTTCAAGGGCTGTAAGTTCATAAATTGTTGTTAACACCCATTGAACATCATCTAGAGTGTTTTGAAGTAGAATGGGCACCCATTGAACATCATCTGCCATTATTCAAGGTCCAATTCAGCCTCCTTTGTTCCCTCTGAACTTTTGGAGCTTTTTAGATCAAAGCATTCATAGCACCCTCACCACCGCCTACATACCTCTTCTCTATTGCTTCAAACGAGGTCATTACTTAATTTTCTCAGTCGATCATCGGTACACCCAAAAATTTGCTTATTTCCCCAAAGTTTGATTTCACCCWGTTTGAGATACAGTTTAAACTTCCTTACAATGCTCTTTCCTGCCTTCTACTTCATTTGCAAAGGATATGTGTGTTGGATCTTGCCCCTGAAAACATTTGTCCTCCGCACTCCCCCCTTTAATCTTCTTTTATCTCCCCATTTGAGCCTCTTATTACTAGAAGGGGGAGATTGAGAGTGCCTCCTCTGCATGTTTGTTGCATAGTTGAAAAGGCATCAAGGACAAAGAAGTGCAAGGTTTCCCAACTGTGCTTGTTGATTCTATTTGCTTTGATGCCTGTATACAACATCTAGAAAGCCACCCTGGTTACATACTGTTGAGTTGGGCCGATTTCAAGTTATTGGGCCCAGTCATTTATTTTTTATTTTTAAGTTGTTAAGTTAGGAAGTTATTGGGCTTTAGAACCATTACCATTAGTTTATGTTTTTAAGTTGCGACTGTTCAGCTACTTAAAGTAGCCGCCCTACTAAGGGCATTCTTGTAATCTTTCATTATTTTATTTTAAGTATATAATTCAGAGGGGGTGGCGGCCAGATTAATTCAATTCTGGCTTCATCCCACTCTCTTTTCTTCTTCTCTCTCCTTCTCTCTTGCTGAAACCTTTCAGTGTCCTCTACTTTTCTTCACAAAGTATACATCAAAAATAGTTATCAGCAACTTCTACTCATACCTATGGCAAACAAACGAGGGAGATCTGACCTAGCCTCGGAACTTGCCGTTGGATTACTCATCACCAATTCACCATCAAGTGAAGTTGGGGAAGTCCAAACCCAAGTAATCATTGTGTAACTACAACATGACCTTCAACTAATTTGCTGATCTTCCTCTAGAGAAAAGGTGTCCCCTCTTCTTCTTACGAACACTTTCAGTTGGGCTGAAGGCAATGGTAGATCAGGCCTTGATAGAATTTGTGGCTAAACATGCAAAGGTTGAATAGTTAGGTCTTTGATGGGTTGGGTTACAAAGAGGGCTAGAGTATGTTGGGCTTGGGCTTGATTAGGGGTACTGGATCAAGGGTGAGCTTGAGCCTGGCTAGAGTTTACTCAGCACCATCAAGTGGAATTGGGGAAGTCCAAACCCAAGTAATTCTTGTATTACCAATACCTGATCTTCACCTCATTCCATGACCCTCCAATAGAGAAAAGGAGCCCCCTCTACTTCTTGTGAACACTTTCGATCCAGAACCTTGGGCTGAGGGTAATGGTAGATCAGGCCTTGATAGGGTTTATGGCTAAACATGCAAAGGTTGAATAGTTAGGCGTTCAATGGGTTGGGTTACGGAGAGGGCTTGAAAATGTTGAGCTTTGACTTGATCAAGGTTACCGGGTTGAGGGTGGGCTTGAGCCTGGCTAGAGTTTGGGTATATAGCTAAAAGAATCAGGTCAGGGTTGGGTGAGTGGTCCAGAAGGATTTGGGGTTGAGGGTGGGCGTGGTCTAAGTTCATCTAGTAATTTGTCAATTGCTGGATGTTAGTATTAGAATCTAGTCTTTCACAGGGATGTTATTTAGGGTTCTGTAAGCAATACAAAACCGCCGTGTCCCATCCTTTTTAACTAGTAAAACTAGAGAGGAGAATGGGCTACGGATGGGTTGCATAATTTTTCTATCAACCATTTCTTGTGCTTGTTTCTAACTTTCGAACTTCTAAAAATAAGAGTATCAGTACGGTCTTACATTAGTTGGCAAAATGGCATTGCATACGACAAGAGTGCAATGCAATGGTCATTCTCACGTTGTAGAGGAAGCCCTTTCGATTCTTCAAAAACCACTGGATATTGTTGAAGTAACCTACTACAGCTGGTTGTGATAGCCACCAAGCCCATTGGAGCCGTTGGGCTGGCCCAATTCGAATCAATTTGAATTAGGATGGGCCAAGAAAGATCTGTGACCTTCTTGACTAAGGTTGCAATTCTGATGGGCCCTGGGCCTTTCAACATCTGCCCCTTGAGGTGTACTAAGGAATCCGCCACATGGAAATCCATGGTGAGGCTGCCCTATCATAGGGCACTAGGCTTAATTGTTTAGCCACTGGATTCCAAAAACTATATCTGCTCCACTGATTTTAAGGGGTATAAATCTACAAGGAACTAATGACCTTGGTAGCAAGCACCTTAAGGTTGTGGATGGCTGAACCAAAAGCCCCAACTACTTCAGAACTTGAGTGACATAATTGAAAGTGTTGCCACTATCTCTGAGGATTGACACATGGCATCTTTGGATCAATCCTGCTACCCTCCTTGTTTGTGAATAGGCAAGGTCAATCAATGTTTGCAAGGACACTTCTTGAGATCCTTTGTCCATTGTTCCCATTCTTGGCCGCCAATTGGTTCCTTGCCACCAGTAGAGTTTACCTCGGGACCCTCAGCCTCCATTTGAAGGAGGAACACTTGTTGGGCCATGCAACAGCGGCCAAGCCCGAATTTCTCTTCACAATTATAGTAGAGACCCTTGTTTCTACAAGATTGCATTTCAGCCAAAGTGAATCTCTTGAATTGAATGATTGGGTCCAGGCCAAAGCTTTGTGGTTTGCCCAAGATTCCTTGCTCCCAATTCGGTGAACCTGGTCTACATGCAGGTCCCACCAATCGGCAAACCCTCCTTTCTTGTCTTCATATAATCGAGCTAAGGCCGCCAAGTCAAGAACAGAGGTGGATTGCATCACCTTCACCTCCAGCTCAGCCACTCTTTCAGTCCACCAACAAAAATTCCGACCAGCACACTTTCTAGCCATATGCCATTTGATAATCTTGAATTGATCCCATCAGCCATAGATTTACTAGGCTCTCATCATACTCAAGGTGACTGAATTCTGCCCAAGAGATTCAAGGATGTCCCCGCCAATACCACTGATAATACAATATTGCCTCACTTTCCATGTGGGCAGAGGCAAGAGACACTCAATCTTGGTTAGACATCTCATTGAAATTGAACTAGCACTCACATAATGTAGCCAGGGTGTAGGATCACCACCTGAGAACACTAGAAAGTCTAACTTCCCAATCCAAGATGTCCTTAATCAACTCAAATGACTGGTTTTGTTGTACACTCATGATCTTTTCTAACCTCATTCTATAACATCTGTTCCATCCTGCTCAATAAGGCAGTGAAGCTCTCCTTGATTTCCTTAATGTCTACTGACATTCAATGGATTTCCACCTCCACCGACGTTGTCTTGGTATTAGGCATCCTAGGCTCTGATACCAAAATACTAGGAAACTACCTAACTCAAGGCTCTTTAAGGGAGCCAAACTCTTTGAAGGTGAGAGAGAGAGAGAGAGATTAATTCTTGAAATGAATGCTCAACACCTATTATTAGCCTCTTTTCCACTATTTGTACATTGTAATACAATTTGTTAGTTCAACTGTAACAACCTCTTGCAATCTGTTATGATCTGATATGGTAGTTGTCCTTCAAGTTGTGCAACTTGTAGAGCCACTAGTGAGCTGATGTGGCCTCTTCTTATACACTTAGCTAACCACTCTGAGGTGCTCTCCAGGTGACTATCAAATATCTTTGAGACAAATAGGTCCAATTTGATCCCAGATTTCCACTACAAAAAGGAGAATTTACCAGCAACCAGATGGCAATAAATAATCCTGAACACATTCAAGTTCATGAAATTGGTAAGCTCAATTTATCAAAATAACAAGTAATAAAGAATATGTTCTCTTGAAGATTCCACTCTTCTTCTTGCTTGAATGCTCCATACACAATAAATTCACAACAGTAAACTTAATCCTTGTCACGTGTGTTTAAAATGAAAGAATATCTACCTTATTTTCATCAAATCGCCCAAGTGTAGGGAGACCCTGATGAACTATGTACTCAGAATCCACCACACCAACATTTTTTGTTCGATCACCTTGTGCACAGTAACCAAGTTGCATGTCCAAGCCCCATGCATGGATCAAGTCATTCTGTGAAACCAAAAGAATCTTAGTATATCAGCTAAATCAAGCATACTCATGTCTTCAAAATCATAGAAAAGTACCATGTCCTATGGTTAAGCCTCATTTAACTGATCAGTGACCATTTCACAAAACTTCTGCCCATTTTGGCCTTTGGTGGATATTAAAACCCAGTCTTACAGAGTTGAATGTATAAAGGGTTTGACCTGGAGTTCCTTTTGGTTACATAGTTCTGGTATCACTGATTCAAATGCATCATCAAATGGAATATAAGTAAACATGGGCTGGTTTGTCAGTTTTTTGGCCTTCAGTTGATTATCATAACCACAAGTCCACAACCAAGTGCAACCATAGAATGGCTCAAACCAAATAAATAAATAAAAGGTGGATTGTGGTGCAATGGGCAGCTCAGGTAAATGACCCCCTTGCCTAAAGAAGTGTATGACCAATTAAACCATAGAAGAGGTGGCACACCTGGATCATATACCATGCACATCGCCACGCTGCTCTTGAAAACACGGGAGCCATCATTTCTACCCATCTGCAAAACAAATTTTTAAGTTTCTTTTTCATTATCCCTGTACAAAATAAGTTAACTTCCTTCCAATAGAATAACAAAGCAATATCAACATCAAGGAATGGAAGTCTTCACCCAGTGCATGGAGGGGCAGTACTGTTTCCATCACATCTCCTGTTTTTGTATATCCTCCTGTTAACAACAACAGACCAAAACCAAGTAAAATATATATACATATACCAGTCAACAGTCATATTGAAGCTAACCAAATAAATATAATTAGAGGCATTGTTTGCTGCACATTATCAACACACACATGCTGCATGGGAGTTCAACATCAAGTTTGTGCTACCTAAGAGATCTCTTCTTTCAAACGCCATTGGATGATTGTATTCTTTTCCTGATTACTTACTAAAATGTTTTGACTACTCAAAAATTGTCAGATTGAATATTTATAGTCATCTGAACATCATGATCTTAAGCAAAAAACTTCTCCTAGGCTGGACTCATATGTCCTATCTCCTCGATGTTCATAGCCTTAGTTGCAATCAGCAATGCACAAATGATGGAGTGGCCCTTTCAGAAACATCACTAGCCGAGAAAGATAAATAACCTGTGCACTCTTGATCTCCTTCCACGTACAGTAATTTGATGATGAACCTCTGATCTAGAAGGATCTAGAGCTGGTTGTGATATCTCCAGTCCTTCATCTTTAACGATTGAAATATACCTGCATAAGAGCCAATATATTCCAGAATATTAATTGCAAGCACTCAACAAAATTTCCATCTCAATCAAGTTTCAAAATATCAATATGATATGCCTGATACACATGTTTTAAGGGGTTTTAAGAAAACATTTTATAGAATAACAAAACTACATAAAAACAGGCCTTCTCTGAAATTTTGAAGAAAAAAAACTAAAAGAAGTAACAGACCACTGTTCAAAGTATCAGTAAACCCCTTCTGGATTATTGGGGTCTATCAATACTTTGAGCCTTTCTCAATAATTTTATAAAAAGAATCAACCTGACAATATAAGAAAAAGACTTGAAAGCTTTTTTTTTTATTTAGGTGGAAATTTCTATTTTCTTCCATGAATTTTCACAAGCTCGGCTTGGCAGTTCTGATTCCAAGCCAGATAGAGGCTAGTGGCTTAAGTACTGCAAAAGATATCTGTTTGTCTGAATTTGAATCTCAAATCCAATCAAATTAGGGCAAACAGATAACCAAATTCAATCTGTTTATAATTGGATCAAATATGGATCCACATCCAAAAGCATAGTTGGTATCTTGGTATAAGGTTTTTTTGCGTTGAATTAAAATGTACATATACATATATCTACATAAAATTAAAATGCATTTATTAAAGTGCTATAGGTTCAAGTCTTAAAGACGTAACATGCAGGAAATGGCGATTTTAGAGGAATGTAGTATTAAGATGGACCAAGTCCCTTTGAGAATGGCAATCACGGTGAAATGGAAAAGACCAAGCGGCCTAATTTTATTTTCGAAAAAATAACTTCACCTTGCTAAAGTATTATGAAAACCTTTATACAAACATGCAAAGATGTAAATATAATTTACATATTTATCTACACGTGCGAAGCACGTGCTGCTCTTCTACTAGTATGACAAAAGAAATATATGCTAGATACATCTCAAGAAGACAAAAAAAAAAAAGAAATTAAACCAATTACACCTATGGACCCAAATCATGGGTAGTCAACATCAGATGGGAGGCATACTGATGGTAAGGGAGTGTTTGAGAGTTTGGTTGGGAAACTATTACCGATTAGTATATGCATTCACCTACAAACTCACATTTTAAAGCTACTAAAAGGATTTTGGCTTATCAGAAAGGTCAACCAGGCCTGGGTGTCTTGTTTTCTGATCATAAAAACACATGGATTGAGGCATATACAAATGCAAATTGGGATGGTTCTGTGGATGATGGGAAATCAACTTCATGATATTGTACACTAGTGGGTGATAACTTGTCTCTTGGAGAAGTAAAAAGTCAGTTGTGGTTGCTCACTCCAGTACTGAGGCAGAATACAAAGCCATGGCTCATGGCTTATCCAAAATGTTGTGGCTTAGATCACTTCTTAATGACTTGAGGATTGAGCAAGAGAAGCCCATACTACTATATTATGCAGTCAACATTACACATAACCCCATTCAGCATAATCAAACCAAATACACTGAAGTTGATAGGCATTCTATTCAAGAGAAAATGGTTCCTGGAAATGTTTGTCTGCCTTCTACAGCCTCTAAAGAATAGCTAGTCAATAAGCTTACCAAGGGAGTTAAATCTCAGCTAGAGTATTATGTAAGCAATCTCGGCATGGTTAACACCTATTCTAAGCTTGAGGGGGAGTCTTGAATAATGGGCATGTAATCATTTCGGTGTTTGGGTCATCATTATTTATTTTCATTATTGGGCTTCCATTCTTATTGGGTTCTTTGGACCTTTGTTTTAGTTTCTTTAATTGCTGCCATCCTGTTAGGGGTATCTAATGTTTCCTTTATTTTGACATTTTATATAAAACATAGTGGGACAACATAGAAGCTCCCACAATTCTGTCTTCACTAACACTATTCTTTTTCTCCTCTTCCTTTCGCCTTCCTTCCCTTTATAATTTCTGTTCTTATAACTAAATTTTTATTTCTGTTTATTGCTGGTTTTTTCAACAACTAATCACAAGTTTAAACAAAACCGACACTGTATTGCTCCTTAGATATATGTGCTACAGTGATGTATGACAGATTCTATTTTATGGATTATTGCTCACATTTATAGCACTCCATGAAGTTAGTTGTCATTTAAAAGGGAAAACAAATACAATTTGTATTTCATAATGACGGTATAAAGAAGTTTTAGAGAAACTCTAATTACAAAAATGCAGAAAGGGCTCACTGGCAATTATATTTTCAAAAACTCCCACTAAGGTAGCAACACATACCGTTCAGGATTGAAGTTTTCTACTCCAAGGTCCTCATCCCAAAGGAAAATGTAATTGTACTCAGGGAGTATATCTGGATGCATGAAACGCTTGGCAAACCACCTAAATCACAATAAAAACTAAAATAAACCATGTAATTGCAAATGCACAAGTTAAAAATCAGAAAAAAGGTCCTTCCTATTAAAATTATGAGTCAAACTACCATTTGTTTATTATACACCTCACCATTTAGTTTGATTGATTGCTGATACATGTATGGCCCGGTCACTCCATTCTAAGTCCATCCATTCATCAACAATGCCATCATAATGGAAAAGCATCACAACAAATTGATTTGATGGAAACTGCAATTGGGATATAAAATAGCAATTAATGCAAAATTAGGCCAACAAATATAATGAAGCTGACAGTGTAGAAGTTAAAGACTGTTTACCCTTTTAACCATTTTATTGACATTTTCCTTCTGCTTTATTCCAGCTGCAATGGCCAACAAGCTCCTCGGAGGTTTTGCATCGTTCTGGTTGAAATACAAAGAGAATACAGCTATTTTTATATTTTGCAATATAATATTACAATTAAGCATATAGAAGGTTGCATTATTTTCACTATTGCTTATCCTGTTCATTATTACATTGGTGAAGCAGATACTAAAGTAAGGAAAGAATTCATGGAGAAACAAATCAGTTTTTCAATTCCAACATACACCAATTTCAGAATTTTTGGGTAACAAGGATGTTCTTAATTTTGAGTTTTTTCAATTTGATATCTAGTTGTAGGTATCTTAAGAATAGAGTTTCAAATTCTAGAAATTTACTATTATTTGGAAATTACTATTAGAGTTGTTTAGGAGTAAGTCCTTATTTGAGTGTCAGTGTGTCACTGTATCGTGGGTTCATCTTAGTTTTTAAAGCAATTAGAAGTTGATTTGGGTCAGTTTCCTAGTCCAAATTGGACTCTGTACGACATCCAAATTCTCATGGTGAGTTTACAAATATAGTCATTGTAGTAAGGAGGACTAATTTGATGAAAGAAAGTTTGGTTTAACGAATTCTGGTTGCTGCCATTTGCCAGTAATTTTTTATCTCTTCCCTCTCATATTTCTCTTTTCTAAGTAACCTATTTATTTGCTGCATACTCTAACAGCAAGACTTTTTACTTTCTGATTTCTTACTCATTCTTTGGTAGGCAGCAAGATCTCTACTTCATTCTCCATCACTTTTTATCAGAATCAGGAATTTATTAAAGTTTGAAATTAAAAGTACAACCAGTAATTGGAAAGTAATTCCATCTACCCGTCATATCAACAGATATGTCAGTTACAATTTTTTTACAGGAAACGGTAACTTTCATTAGAATATTAGATAATTGAAAAGATTGCAGGCTTACCACCCACAAAATGGATGGAAAAAGAAAATCAAAAACTTACRAACAGGCCYAAAACAAAGCCTCCCTAGTAACTCCTTGCTTAGCTAAAGTGTCAGCCATTCCATTTGCTGACCTTCTTACCCAATTAAAGTGCACCCCAATCTCCCTTGCTAAGCTAATAATCTCTCTTAGAGGCTGTCTAAGAGACCACACTCCCAGGTTTCCAGTTTGCATCCACCCTATTACCAGCTTGGAGTCTCCTTCCACTTCTAATTGCTGCATGCCCCATTGTTTCGCCATTTTCAAACCTTGAAGTTAGGCCATTACTTCTGCCCTTAATGAATCTCCCACACCAATTGGGCCCGAGTAAAGGGCCAAGACCTTTCCTTTCTCGTTTTTGTACACACCCCCAACTCCCGAGTGACCTGGATTACCCAAGGAGCTTCCATCAAAGTTTAGCTTCACCTTGAACTGAGGCAGTGGTACCCAACAATCTTGTACCACAGGGGAGGAAGGCGAGGATATAGCTATAACACTTCAATTTCTAATTAAGTCCGCTGAGGAGAAATCCTTGAAGAGATGTACTTTCAGCCAGTGCATAACCTTGATGGTGACAACCTCCACAAGTGATTCCTTAGATTTTTCTTGCCTTAGGAAGATCCTATTGTTTCACTCTTCCCAAATTGACCAGTTGCTGCCTATATACCCCTTGCCTAAATAATGAGTCCGCCATCTCATTTGCAGTCCTTATCCATCCTTAATCAACCAAATCCCTTTCTTCATCCCACAAAGCCCACCAAATTCATAGGACCCTGACCCTGTCCTACATCAATTGGTTCACCAATTGGTACAAATGCTCAATTTTCCTATTACAACCAAACCTTTTAATATTTTAGGTGCATGCAAATTTTAATATCCAAAAAGGTAAAATTAGCAACAAGAGAATCCAATAACAGATCTGGCACATATCCTGTACCAACAACATAGTCAAATAAAGTCAAAATAGGTATTTCAGGTAAAATGAAGGTCTGGGTATCAAAGCTAATAGGGAGGTCTTGTCCTATCTTGAGGGTCTTAAACATCTGAGGACTATAGATTCCCTCACATATAATTGAGGTCATCTGAGATAATATAGTAACAAGGATTTGTAGAAGAGGTGACATGTCAACATCCCATGAAGATGGTCATGTTGTAAAGGAATCTGTAATAGTGACTACCAGTTTAAACACATAAAACTCAGTCTCATAGATTTTAGCAGACTCAATAAGCTCATAAGTACTCTCACTAATGGAGCTCCTGGTGGGAATGTAGAGAGTATCAGGGTTACTTAGCTAAAAAGGGCAGCCCAATGCACAAGGCTCTCAACAATGTGGGATCTGGGGAGGGACAGATGTACAAAGCCTTACCCTGCACATACAGAGAGGCTGTTTCCAAGAGTTGAACCCTGGTCATCCAGGTCACAATGGAGCAACCCAACTGTTGCAGTGCCAATAAATTTACTTGCATGAATTGCCATAGTTTCATGCCTACCTAATTACATAAGGTTCACATGTACCATCAAATTTATTTGATTTTAATGGCTTTTTGCTATGTAATAAACATAAATAAATAAATAAAAGGAAAATGCTAGTGTCATGGACATGACCATCACAGTCCCTCTAAACATAAGGCAAAGACTTGACACCAATTAGGAAATTTATTGGTGACTCAAGCTGCAAAGTTCCTTCCTGATCTGGAGGGAAACCTTTTTTTGATAAATAAATTTCATTAACTTCCATAAGAATCAAAGGATAACATCTGTTACAAGCATTCCAGTGTGAGGTGCGAGGTGCAGCCTCACTCTTTAACAAAAATATATAACAGATTTAAAAATGGGCCCAGTACAAATGAGCCAATGCATTGGCCTCCCTTCCCACCCACTGTATAGTTAAAATCATTTGTTGTGTGAGCCATTTGAACTTCTTCATTTCATTTCTGTAACACCAAATCACTGAATCTGGGTTCTTTAGCCAACCCACCACCACCTTGGAGTCCCCTTCTATCATCAATTTATTCACACCTAAATCTCTTGCAATCTGAATGCCTTGTAGGGCTGCATATAGTTCTGCCTTTAAAGAAACTCCATGTCCCATTGGTGCTGCGGCTGCTGTCGTGCTGGTGGTTGGCACAGGCCGTGCAGCCATCTGGAGTGGGGATTGGGGAATACGAAGAGTAGAAGAACTAAAGAAGAGTAAGAGAACTAAGAGAGTGAGTGAGAGAGATAAAAGAGAAAACCGATGGGCGATGGAGACTGTCAAACTAGTAGTCTGGCACTGCCGAACTTTCAATTGAAAGTTTCAAACCAGCAATGCCAAACTGGCAGACTGGCAATGCCAACAGTCTCTTAGACTGCCGAACTCTTTTATTTGAATTTCAAAAAAAATAAAAAATATAATATAATATATATAATATTATATAAATATATATTACTGTGTGTATATATATATCAGTCGGTTCGGTTAACCGTCGTTTTTTAAATGGTTAACTGAAACTATCGGTTTTTAAGAATACGGAACTGAAACCGAACCGACCGGTTCGATTAACCGATTTTTCGGTTTGGTTTTTTTGCTCACCCTTAATGGAGGCGGCTCATTGAATAAAAAATGCAATATAAAGTTTGATTTTGTTTTTAAATCTTCATTTGAATACGCTTTACTTGTTATGTTCGTGTATAATAGGTTTTTTAAAAAATTTATTTTAAAATTTAAGCTTATATTTTTTATTAATATTATGTTTAATATTTTAACTTTTTTGCTTTTTTTGAATTTTCTGTCATTTTTATATTTTAGCATTTTTTATTTTTGTGCTTTGCTTCAAAAAGGTGTGCACCTCGCCTTGTGCATACCTTGGGCGCAAATTGCCTTTTGCGCTTCTAAAACACTGATTTGGTTACATTTTTATGTTAGGATCATGTGTTGTTAGTTGGATTAGTAGCATATAGGGGTGCAGGGTGGACTCCACAACCGAGGCCAAGAACATTGCCCAAGTGAAGCTGCCAAGGAAGCAGTTTGGATGAAAAAATTCATCCAAGAATTAGAAGTCGTACCATTTAAAACATCACCCATTCCACTATTGTGTGACAACACTAGAGCCACTACTCAAGCCAAAGAAAGTCCACTCGAAGTAGGAGTGTACAATTGGTCGGTTCGGTTCAGTTCGGTTTGGTTCAAACCAATGACCTAATCAATTATTCGGTTTTGACAATTCCTCTAACCAAACCGAACTGAATTATATTTTAGAACCAAACCAATCCTAACCAAATTTGGTTCGATTTGGTTGAATTTTCAGTTCAGTTGGACCCTGGTTCCACATAAATGACAAGTATTTAATAAGTGTTATTAATGAACAGTTAAAATGACCCCAAAACCCAATGGCTTTAATAAATTAACTATTAACTATTATTAATTAAAAGATAAGATGACCCCAAAGCCCAATGGTTTTAATTAATTAGCTATTATTAATTAAAAGCTAAAATAGGCCCAAAGCCCTATGCCAATGGGGAATTGGCGAATTGGCCATTTTCAAAAATAATTAATGATTAAAGAACAATTAATGACTAATAAACAATTAATAATGAGTCTAGGTTTTAATTAACTATTATTAATTGTTCATTAGGAAATATAATAATTAATTAGCATAAAGTATTAAATAAAACATTAATGTTTAATATATTTAACTAAATAACAGCATTAATTCGGCTTTCAGTTCGACTCGGTTGAAAATTTCAGTCAAACCAAACCAAAACCAAAAACCAATTTTTTAAAAAAATAAAAACCAAACCAACCCGATAGCCTAATAGCTTATTCGGTTTGGTTCACTTCGGTTTTTGGTTTATCAACTGAATTTGAACACCCCTAACTTGAAGTCAAAGCATATCAAGAGGAAATATCACATTCTCTAGGAGATTGTTGGTAAAGGAGACATCCAGATTCAAAAGGAAGCATCAACGGAAAATGTAGCAGACCCATTGACTAAGCCACTAACACAGAAAGTGTTTGAGAGATATGTGGATAGTATGGGACTGAGGCATGTGCCTAATTGGACCTAAGTGCAAGTGGGAGTTGTTAGATAGTGTATGCCCTTAAGTTCAATGTAGTCCTCAAACTTCTCAAAACAATTTTAGGATGCTCAAACCAACAACATCATACATTAAAATTATTCCAATTTTATGGCTGCAGGTGGACCCTCCCCAAGAGGTGACAGAGCTACTAAGGCAGCTATTGCTTGGGGAGTAGGGATGGCAATCTCCCCCATAAAACCAAGGCCCCACCCCGCCCCACTTTGAACAGGGTGGGTTTTCCCCAACCTTAAACGAGGACAGGGCAGGGACGGGGAAAATATTTTTGCCCCGTACCAGGGACATGGTAGGGATGGGTTTTGCATTTCCTCAAACCCACCAGAACCCAATGGTAAATTAGTAAAATATCCCTAGATTTAATATTGACTTATAAAACATCTCTAAGTTTTTCCTAAATTCTTAAAATCCTAGGATCCCATAATTCCATTTTTAAAGTACCTCAAAGTGCCATCCCACATTTCCATAATCCTATTTGTAAATTATCCACAAATTAGATCATTTTTAGGTGGTTGCCTTGAGGCGGGGAAACTTTAGGGATTCCTTGTCCTCGACGGAAAGTGGGTGCCCTGCCCCGCCATCGAGGATGGGGCAGAGTATCTTGACTATGGGGCGGGGACCGGGAGGGGTGACCCACCCTATTGCCATTCCTATTGGGCAGTGTGGGAAGAAAAAAATAACAGAATTTTTTATTGGAAAAAGTAAAACTTCAGAAGAGGTAATTGACAGCATAAAAGTGAGGAATACATTGTGGATAAAAATATTAGACAGTTTTCAACTTTTCTAGTAACTGGCATCCTAAGGGCATGGGAAGAAATAGCACAGTCCTCTAGAGAAAAGGAAATTCTAAGAGTTGAGTGGAAATCGCCAAAGGTTAGCAAAGTAAAACTGAATTTTGATAGAAGCTCTAAGGACAACCCGAAATTGGCAGGAATAGGTGGAGCAATCAGGAATGTGGAATGTAAGATATGGGAAAATTGGCATTACAAATTCAACAAAGGCAGAGTTACCGACTTTACTGCAGGAGTTCCAATTGGCAAAGGCTGTATTTGGTTGCAATGCAAATAAATTTGCACTGATGCCATGACAGTGCAAATGATTTGAATGTAAATTCTGATCTATTTTTGTTTCAAATTTTAGCTTACTTTGTTTGACTGTAGTACAAATGAAGTAAATTAAGATACAAAGCAGAATAAAGTAAAACCCAAAACAAAATTAAACAAGAATTTGCATTTTTTTCATTTGCACTCCCATGCATTTGTATTAGTGCAAAATAAAATTGCACTGCAACCAAACGCAGCCAAAGTAATTGGGTTTTCGACAGGTGGAAGTAGGATTCAAAAGTAGTTGTATCTTTGGTAAGATGTAATAGACATATCCCATGGACCCTTCTTCATGGAAGTGGAAAGATTAGGAAAGGATGTAAATGCTGAATTCAGGTTGATTGGGAGGAGTGCAAATGGGTTAGCAGATACTTTAGCCAAACAAGAGGCAGCAAGGCAGCATCTTTATTGGGCCTCTTTGTTCATTTGCAAGGCAGCATCTATATTCTGGCTGTATTTCTTGGGGATGACATTAGGGTCATCAGGTTGTACTTAATCCCATATATTTTTAATTAATGAATCAATCTTTATTGCTAATAAAAAATCATTCCAGTTTTTCTATGTTGCAGGGAAGAGATGAGTGGGGTTTGCACTGTCCCTAACAAATTGGAAGTAAAATTTAATTATTTCAGGTGCACTAGACAGAAAAACCATAAATTTCATCCATTATAATTCATTGTAAAAAGAAAGAAAGGAAAACTCTGACATCCAAGGAGATGTGAATTCACAAACCTTTTTCTTAGGGGAACCCCATAATGGCCGCATTTCCAAATTCGATGTACTGGAAACAATACCTCTAGGCAATGCGTCGCTTCCATAAGGCCTACATTCATTCTAAAATAATAAAATAAATGAGCAGCAGAACTTTTCAACCGAACTCTTGTGTTGGTAAAAAAAAATTATGCACGTATTTCTAAAGGTTAAAGGCTAAGGCAGATGAGACAAACCTCACACTTATTAGATTCAATATTCTGCACATTGTCAACCATTCCCCATCTAGTTAATTTCTGCAATATGGACCCACAAAATTATTCGAATCTGCTACTGTACTGTGTTTTATTCCTTTGGTAAACAAGTATGCTACTGTGTTTAATCATGATTTGTCCACATACAAACTGAAACATGAATATTATAACAAAAGGTTAACAAGGATAATAGCCGCTCCTGCCAAAAAGAGGAAATCCTAATAAAAGACACCGAAGATTTGTTCAAAGAAACTCATGCACATAACTGAAGAATGTAGATTTGAAAGCAGAAAAACACCAGACATATATGGATTAATTTTTTTATGGGTACATATATGGATTGATTTGAAAATCAAATAGCAAACGGATAGTCTCTTACACATCTAGAAAAGCTACACATATCAACAAAAAGAACACTTGACAACTTGAACAAGAAAATATTCCCTCATTGCTGGAAGATACAAGTCATACCTGTGGAATTGGAGTTACAGAATTTTAAAAGTTCATTTGATTTAGAGAAGGAAATGCATACCACTTTGTAATCAGTCGCAATGAATGCACTCCCTATGAAGAAAACTAGGAAAAGTAACAAAGCTGTAGGGAGAAGACTGCAAAGACATGATCTCCTACTTTTAGGGTCTGCCAGTACTGACACCTGAGAGCAAATGGAATAATAAGGAGATCACATCCAGATAATAAGATGGTATCATACTTGGTTGTTTTCCTACCAAAACAACTCATACTTAGTTGTTTAGCAGTGTTCCAAGACATCAATGAAATAAATAATTTGTATAACCAAGCAAAGCATATCTCAAGTTAAGGATGTGAGCTGAACAATAAAGATTATAAAGTACAATTTAGCCCTGAAATTGATATAAGAAACAAACTAAGACGGTCAAAATCATCTCTGCAATTTGTCTAATCCAAAAGAAAATGTGTCAATCTAATAAATTTGTTTGTATGATTGTGACTCATATCAGACCAACATAAAAGTGCAGAATAATAAAAAATGCCAACTTTGCATAAGATTGGACTGAAGTGAAAGAACAACATCACTAGTTTGACCATACTAGAGGTTCATAAATCAGCCCCAAAGCCAGGTCAAGGTGTCCAAAATCCAAATTTTCCATTGTTTCTTTTAACCCCAAACTATGCATTGTTACCCACTCCTTTAGAGTATCTGCACTGCTATTTAAAAGTGCTACTTAGCTTATATTTAACAACTTATTTAGGAAATCTTAACCTAACTTTTCTACTTGAAAGCAATTCTTGGTACTTGTAGCTATTTCAATTAAGAAAAAGAGCAATAATAAGAAGAAAATAAAGCCAAAAACAGTCCAGAAGATCTTAGGATGAAAGAGTGAAAAGACGAAGAAGAGAAGTAGAAGAACTAGGGCTGAACAGTCAAGATTGAGAAGTTAGTCCTACTTTTATTCATTCAATAATTACAACTGACTCCTCGTTAGAAGTAGAAAGCGATACAAAGGAAACAAAGTAAAAGACATATACTCCTCTTGACTATAAATAATAAAAGAAACTCTAACACTCCCCCTCAAGTTGGAGCATAAATATCATAAAGTTCCAACTTGCTACAAATGGAATTCATCTGTGTATGGTTTAGGCCTTTGGTGAAAAGGTTGACTAGCTAATTTACTGACTTCACATAAGGTGTAACCACTTCCCCACTTGTCACCTTTTCTCTCACAACATGGCAATCCACTTATATGTGTTTGGTCCACTCATGGAACACAAGATAGGAGGATACATGAACGGCAGTTTGATGATCACAAAATAGTTTCTAGGAGTAGACACATTTATCCAAATATCTTGTAACAAACGCTTCAACCACACAAACTCACATGTAGTATGAGCCATAGCTCTATTATACTCTGCTTCTGTACTACTTCTAGAATTACACTTTGCTTCTTACTCTTCCAAGAAATCAAATTGCCCCTAAGAAAGGTACAATAACACATGGTGGACTTCCTATCTATACTGAACCCTACCTAGCATGCATCTAAATACCCTTCCAAATACAACTCACCACCCTTGACCCTTCTTGTATAACAAACCCGCATCCAGGAGCACCCTTCACATACAGTAATACTCTTATAACTGCTTCCCAATGACTATTTCTGGAGTTCTGCATGAACTAACTAAGTACTCCCACACGAAATGAAATGTATGATCTAGTTCAGCATAGACAGGAAGCCCACCATACAAACTATTTCAACTCTTTAATTCCCTCTTCAACATTGCCTGTAATGATTATATTATCAACATAAATGGCCAAGGTTATCTTCCCCGCCGATTTGTCTCTGCTAAACACCGAATGGTCCACACTATACTGTTCTAACCCAAACTGCCAAATCTACCAAACCACACTCGTGGACTGTTCCAATTTATAGATTGCCTTCTTGAGACGATACACTTTACCTACCTTCCCCTAAACAACATGCCCTAGAGGTTGCTCCATGTACACCTCCTCAAGACCACCATGAAGAAAGGCTTGCTAGTAAGAAAGACTTCAACCGACTTATAGCAAGGAATGTAATTCTCTCCATTCAAGTTATTTGAAGCCATTTACATTGTCATAAAATCGTTAAAATTGTTCTGCAACCATTCATAAAAAATAAATAAATAAATAAAAAAAATTCATTCTGCAACACAACCACAACAACATGCTTACCACTTGCCAATGATGCCACCATCCTCAATATAGTAGGGATTGGTCTCACAAATCAACCCTAAAATCCACCAACAGAGTTCAGCCACCAGACCACACCAAAAAGCACAAATCAACATACTCAGGAACACTTATATGCATACCAATCAACACCAAACAAGTTCTCATATCTGAACTGCAATACTCACTATTATCCTCCTCTTCAAACTGTCAAGTAGAGGAGATTTAAAATGCCACCAAACTAACTTACTTCAACTAGGTTTGAGGCATTTAAGCCTCTCTACCTAAGGATGACCAGTTCACTTATCCTTTTTTGAAGATCAATTAAGGAGAGGGAAGAAGGGAAGAGAGATCTATGTTCAAGGCATCCAAGAAGAAGTGCTTCTATCAGTTCGTGCTATTAAGCTCCAATACCACATTTCAATTAGGAAAAATAGAGCAATGATAATGAGAAAAATGAAGCCAAAAACAGTTCAAAAGACCTTAGGATGAGAGTTAGAAGACAAAGAACTAGGGCTGAACAGTCGAGATCGAGAAGTTAGTTCAATCTCTAACTGCCGCCCATTTTTATTCATTTGATAATAAATAGACAAATTACAGCTTTACTCCTCATTAGAAATAGAAAGATAAAACAAAGTAAAGGACAAACTTACCCCTGTCAACTATAAATAAAGAATAAAGGAAACTCTAACAGCAGCATAAATACTTGGTTGTGAACATTCCACTTGCACAAGCATGGTATCGGCAGTGGTCAAAATTCTTTGAAAGTCCAAGGAATAGCTCGAAGTTTGTGGAAGTGGGAGAGAACCAGAGGAATAGTAGGTCCAAGAGAGAGTAACAGGGAGAGAGGCAGAATGTGTGTTAGTGTGTGTGAGAGAGAGAGAGGCAGAGATTTTGCAAATATTTGCCTTTATGTAATTGTCCTTCTCTAGAAGATTCTCTAGAATCCTCTGAATGGTAATAAATTAGGATGACAATACAGTTCAAGTTCAAACAACAGCCAGTAATGCAGGATAAATATCACTCATTTACTAATTTTTCAGAGGCATCATGTCTTGATGTCATAACTAATGTTGCATGGACTTTCTTTCCCATGTGGATGAAGTGTTTCTGTCAAATACATGTCAAACTCCAACACTCCATGTATTCTTGAGAGGCACCTCTACATAATACTTCTTTTTCTCCTAGTTTGTTTGGCATAAATGAACAGTTAATGTACACTATATTACAACAAATTTATTTATTCCTAAAAATGTTATTTAGTAACAAAGAGAGCGTTTTAGACCATGTTTCTATAGGTATATAACGATTATATATATATGGGCAATTTTGATAGTAAATACTTATCTGTAGATGTGTCCAACAATCCATGTTTCTGCTTCTTGCCAAGTCAAACTTATGGACAAGCATCATATTCTGATTGTCATGCCCGTGTTCATGCAACCCCAGATTGAAAACCTGTCTTCCCCAATTAACCTCTAACTCTACTAACCAGTAGAACCATTACGCCTACCCTAAGTCATACAGAACATGTTCTGCTATAGTCCCAAAGGTCAAAACGACCTGATTTGTGCATTCCTCCAGTCCTAGTCCTACGCCTTTTGGCATGTTTCTTGGGTATGTAATATTTGATATCAGAAATTCAGAACCTTTCCAGCATCCTCAGTTAGGCAGTTTGAATCAGGGAAGGGCTACCTGAAGCAGGGTGAAAGCCGTCTTATAAGGAGTACCCGGAGTGGAGTGCAGAGTGAGGAGTGCTCAAAGTGAGAACCGCCGAGTCGGAGCCTGCTAGTATGTTAAGATCATAAAGGTTATTTTTTCTTTCTTTTCTTTTTTATTCTTTGTTCATAAGACCCTAAAGGTTAAACGGCATGACCGCATGAATTAGCTTTTGCCATATCGGCTGGATAAGTAACATCAACATGTTGAATACTTCCACAGTTCCACTGGCTATAAATCACCCCAACAAACATTAAAGAAAAAAGCTATATTTCCAAACCTCAAATTCACAGTGCACCGACAATAAACAGAGACAAATCTACCAGAGGTTCTGAACATTCCAAAACAATACAGGGACTGAAATATAATCACCTAAAACCATTTAATGATGCATCGATCACAACTCAAATTCAAACAAGTATTAATACAAATAACCTTCTTCAGAGGATCTGTTAAAATCAAAATTTATAAACAAAATATAAACCCAGTTGGAAAAAGGAAATATATATATATAAAAAAACACACTTACGCAATTCGGTATCTTCATCTTCCATGAAACACTAAAACATCCACATATGTGACCAACTGCAACCCTCCACCAGTCAAGAACAGCGGATTAAAGATGTACCAAAGATCAAAACAGAACAAATGAAAATAACGCAACAGAGCTCGAGCAAAATAGGAGAGATTAACGAGCGGAAAATGGAGGAGGATGATATTTAATGAAGAGAAACTGGGTTCTGGCCTTCTGGGTGGAAACAAATTAACCTGGATTCTGGCTTTCCAATGACAACGATTCGTCTTCCTTGTTTAGGACCAGAAAACCGAAAACATAAACAAGAGAGAGAGAGAGAGAGAGAGAGAGAGAGAGAGTAGTCCGGGATACACGGCGAGAGTAAAAAAAATCATGGCTGGATTGTGTAGCCCACTATCTTTGTAATTAATTATGTTTTTAATTTTTTTTGGTAATAATTATGTTTTTAATTGAAGACAGATAAAAAACACGCACAACAATGATACACTTTACGCGTTCACCGCTATGTTTTAATTTTTAAACTCTGCTTTTACTGGGGTTTTGTGTTTATGTTTATCTCAAATGCCCTTGGTTTTATTATTAATCTCCCATCCCGACGACACCTTTTCTTTTTCTTCTGTTTTTAGTCATTAACGGAAAAGTAATCCAAATTTTAACACTCGATTTTGGATTTTTGGGTTTAATCCATCCTTGTTAATGTTTCTTCGCTGAAAATTGAATAGCCATCATAGTCTTGCATTCGGATTTTTCTCTGACTGAAGCCGATTTCAAAATGAAGATCATCCCTCCTTGACTTACATGCAGAAATCTAGCAGCCACGACTGACTTCATGTTGGTCAAAAATTAACAAAGTTTTACACATTGATAAATATCATATCATATATGTTTTGAAACAAAATGCAAAAAAGCTGTCCGCAGGACAACAAATTCTTTATTTGACAGAATTACCCCTTATTACAGGACCAAACCTCTCTCCCTCTCTTCCTTTTCCAACTCGCCCTGTGTTGTGATGATTTGTAAACCCAATTATTAGAAACCCTTTTTAATTGTCTTTTTTCTTTTTAATTTTTTATTTTTTGATTTTTGAATAATGAGGTTCACGCCATAAGATTTGCAGAACGAATAAATCAGAATTAGCAAAAATGGTAATTATTTAAAAATTTTGAAGGACAAATTTTTTAAAATACCCCTAAGTTTTAGGAAATTGATTAATTTTATCCCTACTGTTTATATATTATCTTAAAATATCCCCCTTAGTTTTCTGACAATTGATGAAATCCTTCTATGTTAAGGAAAACGATGAAAAAACTAGTTTATTCATCATTCTTCTTTAAATTTTGATAATGATAACTAAATAATATTTAGTTATGTAATAACTAAATATTATTTTAAAAAATCAATAACAAAATCATTTAAATTTCCTTTTAGACAATAACACTTTAAAAATTAAAATATTTTTTAAATATTTCAATAACTAAATACTTTAAATAAAATATTAAAAATAGCTAAATAATTATATAACAAAATATTTAATATTATGTAATAACTATGAAATAAATAAAATTTAAATAATGAAAATTTTAAATATTTTATTGTATTTATTTTATAATTATTGCATTTTTATTATTTATTTATTATATTTTTGTTATAAATTTATTTTCAATAATTGTGTATTTTCGCTATAAATTATCAATAATTATTAGAGATTAAAGTATTGTTATTTATTAGATATTTAACTATTAATTTAGTTGAAATTATGAATATTCACGGGTTAGTTTGGTTGTATATTGTTTGGCCAACCAAATTGACTTGGTCGGGTTAGGGAGTTGGTCACCCGAAACCCACCGACCATAAGTGAAAATTAGCCAATTTGGGTTGTATCAATTTAGGTCAGTTTTCGGTTTGGTTGGTCGATTCAAAAGATTTAAACTTAAAAATTTAAATTTAAATTTAAAAAAATACATTGATACTATTGAAAAAAAATAAATTTAAATTTATAATATAAAATATTTGAGACTCAGAAATACGGGAATTTTCCACTTTCCCATATTGGAAAAATTATATTAAAATATAAAATATTAATATATATATATATATATATGGTCAAATCTGTTTGATTTTGGTCAATTTACAAATGGCCAAACCAAAATTGACCCAACCTAATCGAGTTGGAAAATTGTTGAACCAAAGCTGACCGAAAATATTGGAAAACCAATCAACTCGAGTCAAGTTGGGTCAGGTTGGTCGATTTGATTGGTTTCATCAATTTGATGAACAACCCTATCTGAAATTAATTATTATTATTTTTATATTACAAAAAACATTTAAATTACTATACAAAATATAAATAATTATTAATTCTTTTAAAAACTATAATATAAAACAATTATCTACTCTTATACACATCATATCACACATTCATGATAATATTAGGATTGTTTTATTAACCGCAGACCTTGACCTCTGATTAATTTTACAGTTTTTTTAGCTCAATACTTTGCCATTACAATCCACTAAACGACATTAACAAATCACTCTGAAATGGTCAAAAGTCAAACAGATAAGACACACTAAAAAAAAGTGTTCTTTACATGGATTGGTAGGGCTTAGTGTCCACTTGCCAAAACAGGACACTTCAATTTGTCACTTGTGAAAAGTATGCTCTCCCACCCTCAGAACATAAAAACGTACCCGTCTTTTGTCAATGGGGTTCTTTTCATCTCTCGTACCCCCCCCCCCCACACCAACTAATATTTAGGGCTGCTCAACCTTTTTTGAAATCTTGGGATCAAAAGACTTCTTCTGTGTTTGGATAAACTTTGTGATTTTTGAAGTCTAAAATACAAAATCTCCAATTTTAACGCTTAAAACCAAGGTTTTAAAAATCAATCCAAATTCGGAATCACTTTGGCCAGCAATGATTTGATTGCCTAGGTCAATGATTTGATTGAACGGGTCTAAAAATATTGTCCGAATTGAACGGGTCAATGATTTGATTGCCTAGGTCAGCAAATTGTTGATCAAATCAACAGTTCTTTTGTTAACGACCGGATCAAGTGAAATGGAATGATTGCCTGTACAATTCCCGAGCCCGATGGTCCGACCATCCGATCAATAACAATTAAAAAACACTGCTTAAAAGTGTTTTGACTTCATATTATTATATTTTAAAATCAATTCTTACCCAAACCTCGAATCACTTTTTCACCTTGCAAAACTCAAAAGCAAAAACTTATCTAAACAAGCCTAGTCATTTTCATGGATGCAATGTAAATCCCAACCATTTAAAAACTCATGGTCCCAAAATTGAAATTGATAAAGAAAAAATATCTCCAAATCAAATGATAAAGACTCCTTAATATAATACATCGTGACATATATAATATATACAAAATTCCTTCAGAATTTAATCAGAATATTGTTAACTCACGTTAAAAGGACGATAATTTCTATATCTACATTTACACCCATCTTGAAAAGGACAAAAGGAGTCAACATCCGCCTTAATAAAAATTATAATAAGGTCTTAATCACCTGCTTCAATTATTTGCCAAAACAGACGAAGTTTTCTTGTCAATAAGTCTCCTACGGTAAAGATTTATGATACGGGAAAGATATGGTATGGAAAGAGTTCTAATTAATCAAAATTTATCCATGAATTTTGATAAATAATATCTGATTAATTATTACGTTTGTGATTTCAGTTGACTGATCAGAAGTTTTTCAGATATTATATCTTTTCTATATCATAATCGAACCTAAGAGTTGGATCAATTTTCACCTTCATCAGCAATGAAATGCTTTAGGATTTCACCTTTGGTTATCTAGGCTCTGGATCTACTACAAACAAGAGGGGTATACAATAGGCTGTAAAACCCAATTAGGAAGAACCGGATCTATTGAAAGTAAAAACCGTAAAAACAATCTAAAAGCACAACGTCTAATCGCATATCGGGAATATCTCTTAGATTCATGTTCTCAATGTTTTTGATGTGTGGCTGTACAAATCACCTAGTAACGATGTTTTTATTCATAATTGGGTTCATACTACATAGTTTTGAAAACCTATGACCGGTCCTGGTCAATTGGTCCAACCATCCGGTCCGGTATTCATAACCATGATCGGGTTTAACAGCCTATTAAATACATCCTGTTTGTAGCGCACCTCCACCCATAGCATTGACTACCATAAAAAAGTGTATTAACACGTTGACATAAGGGCATCCAGTCACACATGGGTAACAAGAAAAAAAAATAAAGGGTTAATTTGGTCAACAAAGGAAATAGAAAAAAAACAAACGTATAATGCGGGAAAGGTATTTAGAAGCATGGTTTTCAAAACTGGACTAGACCGGACAATCGGACTAGAAAAACCGGGAATCAGTCCGTTTTTCCTAAAAACCGAATTTCCCCCCAAAACTGTTGATTTTGGTCAGCGAACCGTTGAACCGGGTGGTTAATCATTCGAATCGTTCGAACAGTTTTGACCGTTTTTTATTTTCTTTTTGATTTTTTTTTATTTTTTTGTCAGAATGGGCTCAGTATTCGGTTCAAACGATTGGACTATTTGACCCGATAACTAGACCCCTAACTGGTTTGGTCACCGGGTCGGTTTTAAAAACCATGTTTAGAAGAATCTTGAGCAATTAAAACCCCATATACTTCATTTATGATAAGTTTCTTAAGATATCATCTCCCCCATAAAAAAATAAAGATAAATTGCTAAAACCTCCTCTAAAGTTTGGTAATTGTAATCATTTTCCCTCAAAATTTTAATACAGTTGCAAGTAGACCTCTTTTGTTAGAAACCTTTAACAAGAGGCATAAAAATATCTAAAATATCGATGCAATTTCTACTGAGGCTAGTTTTTAGAGAAAAAAAAATACAAATTTTATAAATAACCAAAAAATAAAGAATTTAAAGTTGTAATATCTTTGAATGATTGATACCAAGACAAATTGGGAAAAGAAAATCAATTTAGAAAAGAGATTCAATGGGTTTGGGCTACCGACTCATATGAAGAGAAAATTTGAAAAACAAGCATTTTGGTCAAAAGTAATTGCATGGGTATTTTAGATATTTTTATATCTATTTTTAGAGAATTCTAACAAAAGGGGTTTACTTGCAACTTTGTTAGATTAAAAAGTTCAGGGGAAGTAATTACAATTACCAAACTTCAGGGGAGGTTTGATAAATGGATTAATTTGGTGAAGAAAAAAAACATGAAATTCCAATTACCTGTTCAACAGGCTGTGAACTGAAATCAATAATAATGCTTACAGTGAGAGAGATTAAATGGTTGTGGGTCACAGCCTTTTTATGACGATTATTAATTCACAGCCTGTTGAA